GTCCCTGCTCCCGGCCCCTCCGAGCTGCAGGAGCCGGGTCGCTTGGGGCACGGCCCCGTGCCGGGTTTCGGGGCGCAGTGGGGCGGGTCTGTCTGTTACGAGACCCACGGAGCGGTGTCTCCCCCTGAACATGCTTCCTTTGACCCGACTGTTGTTTTTTGGGTTTTTGGTGGCTTTGGTGGCTTCTTGGGCCTGTCCCGAATCAGCAGGTCTGCATGGGCTTGGCTCACCCTGCACTTGTTTGCCAGCCCATTTTCCAGCCATGCAGGGCTCCCTGGAGATGCCTCCCTCCCTCTGCACCCCCCAAGGATGTGAGCGGTTGCTGCGGGTGGGCACAGATGCTGTGGCAGGACCAAGAGCCGGACGTGGCTCCCGCCAGGCAAACCTCATTCCCGGGTTTCTCACACACTGGTAAACGGTGCCGTTTTCAGCAAGACAGGTCATTTAAGGCCTGGTTTTCTCCCTCCCTGGGGATATGAGAAAGGTCTCTGGTTATCATCCACCTTTGCCAGCACGGCAAACCCTACTGTTCTCCTCCTAGTTGTTTTAAATGGGTTTTAAGTAGAGGTCTGTACTAAACAGAGGGAACCACACACCAGGGTTTCCCTGGTCTGGAGCAGGTGATTTCTCAGGTGTGGGCAGAGTGGAATCTGCTGCAGCTGCTTCCTTATATAAAGGGCAGGTTGAGGCACAAACTGCCCCTAGGGAGGGGATGTGGGAAATGCTGGAGCAGCTGCTGTGGAACTTTCCTTGTCCTGGGAGAGGTAAGAAGAGCTGCCTCTGCAGTTTACTTTGTTCTTGTATCTTGAGCGGTGCAGTTTCATGTTTTGAAAGACTCTGTTCTTTGAAGCTTGGGTATAAAAGACTGGCTAGAAATGTGTTGGGGGACAAGCCCTGGGCTCAGCATGGCTTCTTTGTGTCCCTTTGCTGCTGGTGCAAGGGACCTACGCAGGAGGTCTGGGCTAGCACTGAGGTGTGCAGAGCAAAGCCATGCTGGGCACAGCCACCCCCTCTGCAGTGCTTGCTGCCGGCTGCTGCCTGAGCTGGGGCTGCCCAGGGCAGCAGATTTCACCTCTCGGAGCATCGCTCTGGGGTGAAGACACCTGAGCTCTCTGAGTGCTAATGGGATGATGATCATGAAAACTGAAAGCTAACATTAAACTTAAATATTTATCTGGTATGATCTGAGATATAACAGTAGATGTGAGAAGCAGACTACATAGGAGCAATTAATTACTCCTCTAGCAGTCTTGCAGCCGTACAGTTAAAGCAATCACAGTTATTATGGAGTGGTATTTTCTTAAGGTGAAATGCCCTCTCGGGAGGAGACTGTGGTAGTACTTGTCTGAGTCTCTGCTGTCACTTGTTGGTGACCAGGCTGGGGTTTGGGTGCTGTGATGTTGAGTTGGTGTTGATGGAGTCTGAGTCTGCTCAGGAGCTGATTGGAGAAACTCAGCCCTGAGGGACACCAGGCACCAGCAGCTATTTGAGGGTAAGCGTGGAACCGGCTGGAGCCATCTTTGAGCAAAGGCACCGCTCTGCGGTGAGGCTTCCATTTGGCAGAACGCTTCAAGCAGGTGTTTGGATGCCTTCACACAGGCAAGGGCTTTGCTGAATCAGGCAGTGATGGGGAGCTTATTTGGCAGAGAAGTGAGAAGCACTGATGGATTATGAGGTATTATAGACTTTGATATTGACTGGGATATGGTTGCATTTAATATATTTGTTCGGAACAGACAGTGAAGGAGACCGTTCTGCTTTCCCTCTGGGGCTGCACTGGTGCAAACACTGCTCTGCTCGTAGTGTGGGTGTTGTTACCCTGAGTACGATGAGAATCGTGGTGATCAGACTCTGTAAGATGCTGTGCATCTGACATGAAGCAGTAAACAGGCTGAGATAGAAACGTTCACATTTATGATTTATTTGGCTATATCTGCGTTAATATAAGTTTCTAAAACCAGAAAGAAAGCTTATGGCTATCACAGGGTCTAAGGGCTGTGGTGCCCTGCACAGTGCCGTGGTCCTCGCTGTGTGGATGCTCTGGGGAAGGGGACCACGTCTCGCAGGCACTTCTCAATGGGAGGCACTGAACGCCTTTTTACGAGCATCACGGTCTGGAAAAGTACTGAGATGAGGCCCGACCTGTAAGGAAAGGAGCAGGTAGACGATTGGTTACAGCAAGCAGCTGGCCGAAGAAAATAGTCTGTAGCACAAACAGGGAAGAGACTGCAGGTCAGTGCAAGGGTTTTTGCCTGTTTGGGAGATGTTGCTCCAGCTGAAGTTAAACACTTCACCTGTTTACAATGAGGACTTGTTTTCTGATTGACTTCAGGAGATTCTTATTCTCCTTTAATAACAAGATCCCCTAGTCTTACTATGGTGTGCTGGTTGTCTGATGTTTTCAAATGCTGGCATGCCTTAAGGAGGGCTGTGAAATAAATAGGACTTGCTTTCTGCAACACAGGACTTGCGTGCTCCACTGAGGGGACCAGGGTGGGCTCAGAGCTCCCAGGGAAGCCCCTTTTGGGGACAGGGGCTCTTGTGTGACTGCCCAACAGACATATGAGCAGCGTCTTCCCAGGAATCACCTTCGAGGGGGGAGGGGGTGAAAAAATGCCCATGGCAAATAAGCAAAGGGGAAGTCCTCTGGGGGAGCAGGGTCCCAGGGCCCTGTGGGGTGAGCAGTGGAGTCTACACACTGCTGCGCTCAGCGAGCCTACACAGTAGATGCAGAGTTACTGAGATGTGTGCCGTCGTGTACAGAGTGGGTTTACCATGGGGGGCCATGGGCTTTACCTGCCCCAGCACAGCTCCTTGTGCCATACATCTGTCTCATGTGGCTGTGCCGAGCTGCCTCCCGCTTCCCCCACCCTGCTCAGGCTGGCTGGATGTCAGGTTTTGCATATGTAAAAATACACAGCAGTCTTTGCCCTGAAAAGCTTGCTAGTGATCTCATTAATCAAGACAAACAAAGCGTATTTAGCTATTCCCCCTCTCTGGAGGAAGGCATTCAGGTACTTAAATATGCGTTTGAGTGCCTAACTTCAGACAGTTGTTTCTGGATGTTTGTGCTTTCTCATAAGCAGCAGCAGTGCCATAGCCCCTCTCCGGGAGGGAAATGTGGGGCAGGCAGATCCCAGGGCTGCTGAAGTGGGTGGGCAGCCCCTGGGAGCTGGCAGGGACAATCCCCAGCTGGGCCAACTCCAGTCTCCCACTAACAATGCAGGAGTTCTTCCCTCAGAGCTGGGGCTGTTAGAAAAATCCAGTGCCTGTAGGTAAGGACAGCTGAGCTGCTTCTCTTGAATGTGCGTCTGCTGCCTTCATTGTGCTCGCTGCCCACCAACAATGCGAACTGCGCAGAGGGAAATTTCTGCCTGGGACTGAGTTGAAGCCTCAGAGAAGGAAGCAGCAGTTTATTCACTCCAGTCTTGGTACAAAGCTCCCAGGTGAGAAATGTGTCACTGAGCCACAACCGGCAGTAATTAAAATGAGCAGAGCCCTTGACAAAGTTGTGAGGGATGCCAGCTTCTGCCCTCGGCATGAGTAAGTGGGAAGCACCAGGTGTAGGACAGGGGACAAGTGCTATTTTAAAAAATGAGAAACACTCTCATAATAAGGAACAGTTGAGAAGTACGGATTGGTCCCAGGCCAGCAATTAGAGTCAAGATAAGGGTGTCCTTGGGTCAAAGGTCTTGTTATCACAGACTGGTGTTGAGAAGTCAATGCCAGTGATGAATCCTCATCTCTGATTCTTCTAATTCATATTTTAAATGATGAACCCAAAGGTACTTCCTCTAGAGACAGCTGATGATCTTTACCATTACTCTGATGTGGTTATGGGCTGTTCTGCCAGGATTTTGTCCGAATCGGGGATTTTGAGCATTGGCTGTAGCAGGGCAGGAATATAGTTTGTAGACACAAGCTTGGTGGTTTTCCTTGCAGGATGATGGAGCTGCGACGGTTTTCAGCGGCTGTTTGGAAGCAGCATTTCGCTGTTGTACATTGCATTTGTTATTGACAAACTAAAACCTTCAGGACACTTGCAGCTGGGATGTAATGTCAGCGCTTGCCTCAAAGAATTAGAGGGGCAATAAAAAAAACCTTATTACTCCCAAAACTTAAATACGTATTTGGGGGTTATTTTCATTTGGGTTTCTCAGTTATGATAATGTGTTAAACTAGAGGACTGTAAATGATCACTTGTCAAGCATTAACACAACCACATGCATTTTGTGAGCAGAAGCAGGTCTGTTAACGAAGGGCCAGTAAATCCCATGTGAGATACAGGCAGACTGAGTGGTACAGGGAAGGCAGAGCTGAGCTGATACAGGCTGGCAGAGCTCCTCTGATGGCAGCAGAGCAGACCTCAGGGACTGGGCTCTTCTGGGTGTTGGTGGTGCTGGCCTTGTTGGCACTGGGGTGGGTGCTGAGGGGTGTGTGCCCTGACTGCTGGGCACTGTCAGCACCTTTGGGTGGTCCGTAAGGTTAGCTTCTCGGGAGAAGGTAAATGAGTGTCACCCTAAGGGAGGGGAGTTTTAATTGATGTAGCTGGATTAAATGGTTTGTAGGAGGTGTTGACAATGAACCCATGAAAAGAGCTGAGGCAAGCGATAAGCAGCACCCGGCTCTCCTCCTGCCCTGGACGGATCCATGCTGGCTGCAGGGAGATGTGGCTGTACCCACTCTGCTCCCAGCACCCGCCTGGCTCTGCCCTCCTGCTCCAAGGCAGCTTCCCAGCCTTGCACGGTTTTTCACTTTAACAACGAAGCCGCCCCTAGACTCAGCCTAGTTTTTCCATCATCTATTTGATAGAATCCTTTTAGCGGGTGACAAAACGCTTTCTTGAGCTTTCTTTACAGGAAACCAATCTCTATTCCTTTTTCAAAAACTCCCTCATTTATAGAAGTCTAACAAATCCTGGGCCTTTTAAGTCCCCTCCTGTTTGTTTTTGTGTGTGGTTTTTTTTCCCAAAACAACAGTGCCATGTTTGTAGATTTGTAGTTTGTAGAGGGGGAGGAGGGAATAAAATACACAATACGGAGAGGTGTAGGGTGTACGCACTAAGGCACGCTGCGCCGAGCATCCCCATACAGACAAAAACCACGCGTGCGCGTGCACATCGAGATGCAAATGATTTCCGCGAAGCTATCACTTGTAAAGCTTGACAGAAAATAATGAGAAACACTAAATCTTTTATAAGGTCAACACTCAAGCAGCTGTCAAACAAGAAAAGAATTTAGCGAAAGATCCGCAAAAACTTCCATCGCCTCATTAAATCCAACAGGGCCGGGGCCCGGCGTGGTGAGGAGGCACCGGGGCGCCTCCGTTTTGTGTCAGTAATTTGTGGCGGAGGAAGAGGGAAGACGAAACAGCCAACGCCGAAGGGGCCTTGGGGGAGGCTGGGGAATCGTTAGTGCGCCAGGAGCGGCCTCGGCTCCTAATTGGAAGCATTGGGCATTATCAACGGAGGATTTGCCTCGGCTCCCTGACAGCTCTCTAGGCCTGGAATGATAGCCCACTTGTCAGTGTAAAAGACCATTAAAAACAAACCATTTTGATTTAATTGGAGGCGGTGCGCTGGGGGCCCAGGTGAGGCGCTTCATCAGCTGATGTTGGCTGCTGATGCCTTTTTCCCCCTGTATTGATGGCTTTTTTTTTCCTCCCCTCCCTTTCAAAAACTGTCTAGGAAAGAGAAAGAGGTGCTGAAAGATCCTTCACAGCTGCACTGAGAGCGGCTTTCAATAGGGTTGTCAACAAATGCCGTGACAAGTTGGAGAGAGGCAGGTACTTTTAAAACAGACGTTATTCTGTCCAAGATGAGCTGCGCTCGGAGGTGTGTGTTGGATTATTAGGGTTACAAATACTGTGGCTTCTCCTGGCAGTAGTGCGCTTAACCGGTTTAATGAATGGGGGTGATTTTTCTCTCCCCACCTTTCTAATTCTAAGAACGTAGGGCAAAGGCAGAACAAGGGAGTCTGGGCTAAATGGTCCTTATTTGCTTCAAACCCAGGAAGGTTTCAAAAAGTGCTCAGCAATTTTTGGCTGCTGTATTTAATGCCCCATGGAGATTTGGGATATTTTTTTTTTTTGCTTCCTGAAAATAAGGGCCATGGATGTTTGCTGGTGTTCACTGGTCACTTGGTCTGAGCAATAGCGTGAGTAAAGGAGAATTAACTTGCTGGAGCTGTAACCTAGCGTGTGCCCCCCTTGGCAGATGTCCTGGGGTCAGAGCAGACCTGGCAGTTTTCACACCAGCCTCGTGTTTGAAATTTGAATCCTGACTCTTTTCTTGCCAGGCAAGAGTTTTGCCTCAGACTAAGTTGTCTGGTAAATAGCATCTTTGCAGAAGGTAGAATAGGTCCATGATGGGGCTCTGAGCAACTTGATCTAGTTAGTGGTGTCCCTGCTTGCTGCGGGGGGGTTGGACTAGATGACCTCTAGGGGTCCCTTCCAACCCAAAACTTTCTATGATTCTATGATTGAAACCCCAAGTCCATTTAAAAAGCCCTTCTGTGGATTTGTGTATGGAACAGTGGGTAGCGCTGAAAGCAGCGCGAGGTGCTCACCTGTAACCCAAGACAGCGTGTGCGGTTTTACTCTGCTGCAAGCCATGAGGCTGCAAGCACCCCAAATCTGTTCCTTCATGGGTGAATATCTCCATAACAGCCATGGGCATTGGTTGCCAACGTCTGCTTGTGCTGCCTTTGGACACCAGGGCTTGGACGTATGTGGAGCCTGCCCTGGAGATGGCCCAGGCTGTAAGCCTGTGCAGGGAGATGTTGGCAAGCAAGGAAAGTGGCAGAGGGGTGATGGGTTACCATGCCTGAGGGAGATGTGAGGAAGGGCTGAGCATGGTGGAGAGTAGCAATGGGGTGTGATGGAGAGGCTGTGTCCAGGGCACATGCAAAGGGCTACTGGGAAAGGCTGGACCACAGAAATGCTTTGTGGTGATTTGAGCAATCACATTGCTGGAAGTTTCAGATGTTAGGCAAAATAAGAAAACCTGCAGAATTTGCAAGAAAATTTAGTGATGGTGACTGGAGCCTGCACTTAATCACAGAATGGCGGCTGTGTGGGAGGTGATGTCTCTGTGTGGTCCCAGTGGAGATGTTCAGGGATCATACTCAGGGTAGCTGGGTCTATGCTGCCCACCTGGAACCCTACAGGGTGTTGTATTTTCTTTTTGAGTTGTGCTTGTTGTAGGCAGGTCATCACTGAAGGCCAGTGGTGCTGCTTTGGATTGTCACTGCGGGGCTGGGACCCACCAATCCATGCCACTTGGGCCATTGAACGGCTATCAGATGACACTGATTTTTTTTTTTTCTTTTGGTTGGCCAACATCCCATCTGAAGGAAGGTTTGATGTGGTACCATGGTGACAGAAGGCTCTTGAACTCATTACTTTATTTTGTAAGCACTATATAGGCCCCAGGAGACAAATTTTATAACACTCCAATGCCATGAAGTTTTGCTGCCCTCAAACCTGGGAGGATAAATGCTGTATCTGAAAAGCCAGCCCACTGTGCGCTGTGTGTATCAAGCCTAGGTTATTTAAGCAGAGTCTATGGCTTTTCTGACAACAGTTGCAAGATTACATGAGCTGTGCTTGTCAGTTCAGCTCTTCAGACAAAAATAGAGGTAAGGCATTAAAAAAAAATGTGGAACATTTTTGTGTGTATGTGTTAAACCTCAACTGTTAATTCTGATGAAGGATCAGGCTGTGAGCAGATATCGGATCCCTGGTGAGAATCAAATTCTGGAGCCCAGAATTTTGCTGCAAAGTTTATACAGTGGGGATTCCTCTAATTACTTTCAGTGGAAATTTACCTGACAGAGCTTTCCCAGGTAACGCAAGGCATACGCGGGAGAGCCGCTCAGCCGTTGACAGAGCCTTTGATTTTGTGCCAGGTTGCAAATTAAGTCTTTTGCCAAGGTACCCGAACACTTGCTCGTCAATTTCTTATCGCTTATTCATATCGCACATCGAGCACGGCTCGTTTCATCTGCTCAGGAAGGCAGCACATGTTGACAAAAGTGTTGTCCAAAGTTGTTGCATTTTCTTTCCTTCCCCCTGTTTGGTCAAGTAAACAAGACTATTCTCCCTGGAAAGCCACCCTGAATATCTGTGCAAGTCAGAATTCTCTAATGAACAAATAAAAAGTCCTGGTGTGTGTCAGCGACACGCGGTGCACGGAGCCGTTTTGACACGTGGGTGAATTCTGTCCTACATCACTGCTGTGTGAGGTGTCGCTACCAGAATCCTTCTGGACTGACATGATGGAGCCCTGGAAATCTGTTGTGGAGTGGGCAGCATTGACTTACTGGTTTGAATCGTGACTATCAAATATTCAGATGGAGGTGGCTGGAGCCTCACCCTGGGCTGGCAGAGGCAGGGCTGTGGGGATGCTGGCATCCAGCAGCAACAGCCCTTCCAGAGTTTGGCTGACACCAGGGACAGCTTTCTGCCTGGGCCAGCACAATGCTAGCGATGAGGGACACAGGGACAGGACATATCCCATGAGTGTTGGGGCAGGAGTATTTGTTTATAGTATTTAAGGGTATTTACTCATACAGTCCCCAGAGAATGTAGTTGCAGATCTACAAATAAAGAAGTCTTGATGCACAGTCCTAGCCATGTTGGCAAAACCCGAACCGTGTCAATTCAGGCAGAGGCCATTTGCCTTGAGGGATGACTGAGGAAGAGGAGGGCAGTAGAAACATCTTGCTGAAGTGAGGAGTCAACTTCTGTTTGGTTTAGTAAAAGAAAAAATTAAAAAAAAAAAAACCAACAACAAACCAAACAAAAAATAACTGCAGTTCAGCAACTTTCCCTAATGAACTGCCTGTCAGGACATGACTGGCTCCCTGCAACCTGTTTGTCTGGGTGAGCTGGAGGGCCCAGGAGACCACACGCCAGGTCGGTCCTCCAGAGCAAGATGCGGAGCAGGAGCTGGTATGGGAAAGCCTGTAAACCACCTGGTTAGCTTAATAGCGTGGGCCATTATTCTAAAGCAGTGGGGCTGAAACCTAAATCCAAATGAAAATACAGTCAATTTGTCTATACTTTACTGACTGAATGACTATGTAATATCATGCAGCCCTGGTGATGCAGGGAGCAAGCAGAGGCAATTAGTGGGGAGGGCAAAGCTCCTTTGTTTTCTGCTCTTCCACTCCCTTCATGTGCTCTACCACAGTGCCAGGGGATAGCCTTGCAGGAACAGAATGGAAAGACCAGTTTAAGAGCCAGTAATGACATCCATGCCCAGTTTCTGCAGACATCTGTAAGGGGACAGGGTGGGAATAGAAAAATCCTCTTTGCTAATTTTTATGGGTCTAAAGGAACAAAATCTCATCTCCCTGCTGCCTTCTGCTTTGGGTTACAACTATCTTGGAAGCAGGGTGCTCTGCATGGCTCCCCCCAGGCCCAGAGCAGGTCAGACTGAAAGGCATCATGCCAGATGATGGGCAGTGACTGAGTGACAAGAACAATGAGAAGCCTGAGGACTTGTCACACCCCTGCACTTGGCACCAGCCTCGGTCACATGGAAAAACAGTCCAAAGTTAAGGCTGTGGCCAGAGCAATGGAGTCTGTATATTCTTGCCCAGAGTTTGAAGCTATTCCCAGGTCACGAGCATCTTTTGTAATGGCCAGAGCAGGACAATGCCATTGAAGGCTGGTAGGAAATCATATGCAGATGGGAGTCTGCTAACAAGCCTTCTGTAAAGTGATATTTTTGTGGTTGCTTCTCCTGTTTGCATGGTAGGATGGGGGTGTTATATGGATTAAAGACAATGTCAGTGCTAATGGCTGTCTTCCCCAGATCATTAAGGCTTAAAAAAGCTGTAAGGTAGATATCCATGACCATGCAAAAGCACAAGAAAGAGGATTCATGAGGACGGAAACACTACAAGAACCAGCACTGTCACCTTTGGAGGGATTGGTAAGAGTGATTCCTGGAGTCCCTAGGTCTGATTGAAGTGTTAGGGCACTTTGTTTTTCAAGGCTATTCCATCACCACCACCAATGTAGAACCCAAATTTACAGAGATGGTTAAAGCAGAGTTTGGAGGCTACCAAGTGTCTTTGGGAACCATCAACTTTCTCTGGGTTATACTGCTTTTAACTAGGTAAATGTTTCTGGATGTTCAAGAGAACTTAATTTTTCATGGAGGAAACCATGCACTGAAACTCGCTTGAGCAATGAATTTCCTGATCCAAGTTCTAACATGGGCTGTGCTTATTAGATCTGCAGCTGGGACAAGGCAAACCTTTCAGGCTCATGTAATGAGAAAGGAGGATTACAGAAAATCTGAAGAGAGTCTGCAAAATGGGCTGTCCCTCGTCCCCTGGATGTTGCTTCTGGGAAGGAAGGGGAGAGGAAGGAGAAAGGCAGAGAGAAGAAAAGACTCAGAGGTCTGAGAGGTGTGGCTGGGGAAGGAACCCGACCACAGTCATGGATGAAACAAAAGGGAAAGCATGAAGAAAAACACAGGCTGAAAAATGAATAGTGATGGAAAGGTCTGGGGTGAGAGGAGCTCTAAAGAGGAGGCTTGCCCCAGTATCTCGTGTGACTTGCACAATCTGTTTAACAGCAATCGGTCATGTTCTTTCCCTGACACTAGCCGCAGCAGTAGCTCTGTGCTGACAGGCAGCGGGGATAAATGATTACTGACATATGCTAATCGGACAGTCTTAGACAGGACGTAAGAGGAATATATCAAGGTGGTGCAAAACACATTTCTTGGTCGAAACTCTCCAACTTGTACAAGTAAATTAGCTTCAGGAAGTCAGAAGGCTTCTTCGTTGTTTTAAACTGCAGTTAAATATCAACAGCATGGCAAAAAAAATAACCTCATCGGAACAAGGGCTGGGGTGGAGGGCTGAGAGGCTCTTTGCAGTGGTATCTATCAATGCCAGATATGATTTTGGCCATGTAAACTCCCTGCGGGGTTTCAGTGCTTTCAGACTTTCTGGTGTCTCCTTTCTAATCCCCTTGCCCAGCTCTCTTCCCTTCCTTCCTAAAATGCCCCCTAGCTCTTCACTTGAAGTTTCCCTGTAATTTACACCACAAACAAAGCTAACAGAATTCAAACAAGTACCCCAGAGCACAGAAGGATGCACAGATGAATTCAGGGAGATGTTTAGATCCCATTGCTAAAACAAGAAATCTTCACCTTGGCTCTTATTTGGATCAATTAAAGGAAGTGTCACGCACATCTGTAACCTGGCTAGACCCTTTGCTCAGTCTCAGGGTGAATATTGTCAATCAGGAAGTTTAGAGAGGTATCAAGAGTGCAGGCTTTCTGGAAAGCTCTAATTCTTGGGGTGAAAATGCTTCTTGAAACATCTGGTGTGGTTTGAATTAGTTATGGTGAGAGCTGATAAACTGGCAGGCTACCAAAAGGCACATTTGACTGTCCTGCTTGTGCAGGCCAGTTGCAGAAATACCAGTAGAGAACAAAGGCCACCCCAATACTAACAGGGAGATATAAAAAGATGCTTCTCATGTGGTGAAACTCATGGAAGTGCGTACAACAAGTTATGAAGTCATTAAGCTCTTATGTGGGCAGCTGCTGCTTCTCCTCTTCCAGGGCTTCTGGCCGTGAAAACCATCTCATCTTGAAGTCCAACAGGGGCTGATGATTGAACACACCCAGCATGGGAGCATTTCAGGGTCTGGGTCTTGGGGAGCTCTGAGGTAAGAGCCTCATGTCTACCTTCATTGTGTGCTAAGGGTGTTATCAGGGCATGTGGGCAAGGTTAGGAGGTGTCCCTGAGTTCAAGCAAGTGCTCCATACCTTCTCGAAGCGAGGCAGGTGCCAGAAAGATTCCTCCTTCGCAGGTAGTGGGTTTTTTCGCAGAAGCGTTGTACGAGTTTCACGCACTTTGTCTTTCTGTAACCAAAGGTCAACAAGAATGGGCTGAAACAGCTGCACAGCTGTATACATCGGGCTGGTGTCATGCTATGTAATGACACTGGGATGAACAAGACTAAAAGTCACTTTGGACTGATGACTACAAGTGCCTGATCTTGGTAGTTTTTCATGTTCATGCAGTTAATACTGGTATCTAAAACATACTGATGAAGAAAATATGAGCAGCTGCCAGCTCTCAGGGTCTGCTTTATACAGCATCCCAGTGAGATGACCGCTGCCTGCAGGAAGCCTTGTGCTCTGAGCTAGAGCCATGGCTCATCACTAGCTGGGAAAGTCACTTCCACCATTCCTATCATGGAGGGGGTTTCCTGGCTGTCTGGTGCACATTGCTTTCCTGATTAATTGCAGCTTGCAGTGCTCGATAGTCCCAGCACAAGCCACTTCAGGTACCTGCTGAATGTTTTGGCCACTGTTTGAAACCCTGGGGAATCTGTCTGCTCTGTGATCTGGAATGTAGGTGTGTGTTGCTTAACTCAGTAATTGGTGGCTGCAGGCTTTGGGAACTTGATGGAGGAAACTTAATGATTAAAAACACTAGTCATTAATAGATAAGGTAGGGATGCACTTTCCAACATCCTAGGCTTGTGTATTCATAAAGTAGCTGCTAATTAAGAACACTGTATTCTTGCACTTCAACTATAAAGCATAGTTTGTGATGGCAGTAAGCCCATTGAAATTGGTCATTACCATATTAGCTCGACTCTTCTTTGAGCCATTAACTAATAAAACAGTCATTGGCTGCTTTTAAATGTTATTACCATATTGGTAGGTTTAACAGCACAGAGTTGCACTCTAAGAACTGCTGTGGGTGCTGGCATCAACCGCACCATGCCAGGATCAGGACTAGTGCTGGTCCTTTGAACATTTGTTGGCTGCTCCATTGTTTTGTCCACTGTCACAGGTAACCTGAGCAGAGCTGATGCTGTCCAAGGGACAGTCTGCAGGGCTCCTGGCAGGAGCATGACATAAATACCAAAGATAATTTGAAACCTAATTCTTTGTTACAGCAGGGCCTTTTAGTATTGTGGTGATGCGAAGAGAATCAGAGCCTCCATTTTAATTGATACCAGGAGTTTAGTCGGGCAGCCTGTCACTGGAGCTGACAGAGGTTTAATGGTGGTCAGAAAAGTCTCTGCAGCATGAGTGCCTAAGCCTTTTGAAAAGCCTTGGCCAAAGCACCCTGAAGAGTTAGCTCAGCTCTGCACATATCTTCAGATACAAAAATACTTTAAAAAACCAAACACAACCCAAACCTTCCCTTTTGTCTCCAGAGCACTTTCAGGCACACACATTGCAATCTGCACATCTAGTGTTCATTCCCACAGCATCACTCTACATGGCATGCCCTGGCTGGAGCCAGGCTCATCTTGGCTGGGAAGCAGCTGATCTTTGTTAGGTTTCACCAGCCTTCCAGCAGTCAGGGAAGATGGTTTTGCAGCCGAGAGCCTTCCTGATGGCTGGGTGAGGGTCCATCCATTGTGGGGAGGGACACTGGGGTTTTATGCCTGGTGGCAGTGCTGTGCACAACAAGGAAAAGTGCTGCTGGAGTATTATCACCTTTTTCTTTTCCATTCGCTGGGCTACTGTCAGTGCTCTCTGCTGCTCCATCCACAGCTCCTTGTATTTGTGGTGGAGGAGGTCAAAAAAGGGAGTACAGGGTCTGGAAAACATGGGAAAGACAACAATATAATCCCCAGGATTAATGCCTCTACCTCCCCATGCCGACTCCCATCTCTGCTCCTAGAAAATGTGACTGGTGAGAACATGAACAAACCATTGCACTAGGAAAGGCTTTCTCTTCCTCAAGAAAGACTCAGACCCATTCATTTGCAGTTAACACACCACAGCCTGCACACATTTCTGATAATCTGCAGGAGGACCATGCTAGGGCATTCCCCAGAACAGGCACAATTTGTACCTCTGCATGTAGGGCCGTTGCTGCCACCTCTGTTCAAGCCCTCATGTCTGGAAGGATCACAGAGCACTGCAGACTGTGGCTCCACCTTGGGACTTGCTGTGGCTCCAGGAGAGCGTTTCCCAGCTGGTACCTAGTGGTTGGTAATGAAAGCACTGAGCCACACAATGTCCAGATGCAGAGCTGGGCCTCAGAAGAGCAGCTCAGGCTCTGACCAGCTCAAGGTCCCCTCCAGACTGACACTGCCATGGCAGCTGCCTGGGAAGAACCACTGGGTGCGAAGTGTGTTTCGCTAAACTGCTTTTGCTATTAGAATATCCATAATGTGGGATATCAAAAAGCTGCAAACAATGATGGATTGAGTGAGAGGAGTAAATGCTGTCCTAAGCAATCTGAATAGGGATAAAAAAGGACTCAATGCAGATGGTCAGGTGTCTGCAGCAGAAAGGGGAGCTGAAATGCTGAGCCCTGGTCTAGTGCCACAGCTGCACAGACCAGATGTATTTGCCCCTTGAAACACAGTACCAGGCAGCCTTCTGGCCAGGAGGAGACAGCAGCAGAGGGGAGCTGCAGGTGACCATGGTTCTAGAAAAATAGTGAAAATAAAAGGCAGTTGCTTGTTGGCCAGTGTCCTGTTCAGCTGCTCTGAGCTGGCATTAACCTGACCAGCTTGTGGCAGAGCTGCAGCCTGAAATTGTTGAGCATTGCTCCATGCAAGTGAGGATATTTTAACTTCATCAGCTGCCATGGCAGGCAGAACTGGCAGCAGCAGCAGCAGGGTTCTTGTCTTGAGGACAGCGTATCGCTTATTGCTGTGGTCGTGCTACCATTTTCCCCCAGAAGCAAACACTTGACAGTGATGGAGGACCTTGATCTTGAGTTTTATAGGTTCTTGTCCTTGCACACCTTGCTGGAGAGGGAGTTTTTCCATCTCAATAGCAACCTATAATGGTGTGGAGCCACCAGCCCCAGCTCTGCTCCCACCTGTAGCCCAGAGTGCCTTCAGCTGCAGCTCCTGTAACAGAAAGGCAGTGCTTTCCCTGCCTGTCTGGACCGACCACAAGACTCTGGGGACATGGGCTAGCTGCTGGGCTGCTTCTGGGCCACCAGCTTCACCAGAAGGTGGTTTTCTGCAGAGAGTCTGTGTGCCATGGGGTGAGGTGGTGCTTTGTTGTTTTTGGCAGGAGTAGGTCCAAAATTGGTAGCAGCCAGCTTTTAGTAGTCTGGAGAACTTTTGACGATCACGGAGGGCTCCAGCAGTGCGTATGCAAATAGTAATTCTTCTGCTTCTTGTTCCTTCACCCCTGTGGTGACTTTTATTACTTAATTATTGCACACCATATGCTTCAAAACAGCCTAATCTACGGTCGTGTTTTCTAATGATACTGGATGTGCGATCCAGCGATATACATCCCAAGGGGGCATTCATATCAGAGGAGACATCTTTCTGAAAACCTCCTGTTTCATAGATCACATGCTGCAGGGCTTTTCAAGGCTTTGCTTACAAATCAGCTGTGCTGCTCCAGACTGCTATCTAGAGACCTCTGGTGTCAAAGAGGACACCAACATTTACTCTTTGTTTTCACTTCTCATTCCTCCCAGCATGGCATTTCACAGTGGTCAGAGCTGGGCAAAATATTTACAAGGGATAAAAGATGTGGCAAACCTGTAGCTGTGTCTTATTGTCTAGGTGGGTCTCCAGTCTCCTTGTATGGCGTAAATTTTGATAGTCCCGGCAGCAGCACATGGTAAGCCTTGCACATGGGCTTGTTTCCTTGGCCTGTCCCTTTGCTCTCTAAGGTGCAGGAGCTTTCCTGGTGTGTAGAAATAGCAGGGAGGGATGCAGGAATACATTGAGCCTTTGTGCATAGTGTTTGATTATTGATTTTTAGGGTTGCTGAATGTGTTTTCCCATCTCTATGGAGGTGACTTTTACCATCTCCAGTGGACCAGCCAGTTGGTGACTGATTAGTCCACAGCTGGCTTGTAAGTGAATGCTTGAAAGGACACATTTGGGTTGATGCTCTTCAGAGATCCTTCCCTGCCGTGTGATTAATCGCATTTAAGTCCCGATCCAGCAAAGTATAGAATCATGCCTAGAATAACACACACATGAACTGCCTCTTTGAAATGGGCGGGAATGACTTGTGTGCTTAGTTGCACATGTAAGCTCTGGTGGGGTTGTAGGATGTGAGGCTTTGTCTGGCTTTTCCTGCCTCCTCAGAGAAATACTGAGAAAGCAGGGAGAGCAGGGGCTGGCAGGTAACACACTTCTTTGACTAAGATTACTGGAGAAATTTCAGTGAGGCAGTTTTTTCTTTGTAGGTCAAACGCTGATCTCATTGGAGTGGATGGGGAATTTTGGCCCCGATATCAGTGCCACTTGGCAGTGTGACAGTATTTCTCATTTGCAGCTGGCCTTTGGGAAAACGTCCTCTCGCCTCAGTGTTACTTAAGGACAGGAATGAAGGGCTTGTGTGTTCAGTTTCCTTTAGTCACTCTGTTCAGATGTCACTCCTCTGAACTGGGAGGATTCTGTTATTTTCTGTGGATGCTGTGGGGAGAGTGGGGGAAGCATCCACTGAAAATGCTTATTGCAAATTAAAATCTATCTCATTCAGAGTAACTCAGATCTCCTTGTTTTGGCACAAGCACCCTGCCACAGAAAGAAAAGGGAAAGAAGTTCTGATAGGATGTAACAAATTATTTATAATTGTAGAAAAAAAAATAATCATCTGCCTCCTTTTATAGTCAAATAGTTGGAGCCACTTCTAATGCTGACATTTCCTAAATATTTTAAAATTTATCTGTGCACATTTTCAAAACTATTATCCCTGAAACAGTTCCTGTCTCTTTAATAGACTCTCTCTCTAATTTAATTTAAAGTCAGGGTACAGACCTATTTTCAACTGAAATGACAAGCGCCTGCTAACTTGGTTATACAATGTGGTATGCTAGTCTGCCAGAAATCTCCTGGAAAAGAAGCTGCAGCCTCCTAATAGGCTATTTTAGTGTGAAAACAATGTTAAAAAGTATAATAAAGTATTAACAATAGTAAAATAAACCAGTGTAGGCCTTAAATGAGCTACAAACTAGTTAAATCTATTCAATAGGAGCCTTTAGTGCTTTGCAGCTGATACCTCAGACCTGGGATTTATCTGAAATGAAGGCACCAGGGACATGCAAGAGAAATGGTAATTATAATTTGCAAACATTAGGCTGACACTTTTTTGTGTATGTGTGTATAAATTCTGACAGCTGTGATGTGCTGTGCCATATAGTGATCTAAAGAGCTGGGAATGGCTCTCTTTCTGGCAGGCCATCCTCAGAGCAGCAGCTCATTAAAACTTTGGAGAAGGAGAAGTTGCCGAAAACAGGAAGGCATCTGAACCATCTGAGGGACTGTTGGTACACGCTTGTTGAAAGGTGTTTGAGAAGAGAGCCTTGGGTCTGACAAACTGGAATTTTAGTACGCCTCTCCATTCACAGTGGGGCAAAATAATTGGTCATCAGTGACTACTAATTTGGTTTAGTAGCCAGAGGCGTTTTTTTTCTTCCCAGAAAATCAATGACAGTACCGAGGTCTGTTCAACGTGATTCAGCTCAAGATGGGTCCTCATTTAGCTCTTGATGCTTCTTCCACTGGAGACAGCTATTTTGTTAAAATGAAATTAAAATCTATCTATAATACTCGGCTCAGGGAGGGCACCCGTCAATGCCATGCTGCTCTTGAGGTTTCAAGGTTGTCAGTCTCCCCTCAAACTTATTTTCAAAGGTTTATATATCAACTGAAAAAAAGGTACTTGGCAAAAGTGGATACAAAGGATTTTGCTCAGGAAGGGGGTTTATACCAGCTTAAAAGGTGCAATCAATTTGATTGCTAAGTTGTGTTGTAAAAGGGTAAGAACTTGACTTGTGATTGCCTTTTTCTTATATTATTCAAAAGCATAGGGGCTTGTAAATATTTTAGCGCGAACTTCAGCCCTTGGATTTTCTGAGCAGCTCTCCAGCTGGTGCAGACAGCTCCTGCAGCAC